TCAACGGCCAACACCAATTGTATGTAGAAAGTTGGCGGAAGTACCGCCAGACCGCCAGATAGTTGCATGAATGGTTGGATGGTTGGATGGATAGGTAGGTAGATGATGGGGCAGATAAGTTAGATAAATGTGAACTTAAATGGTCCGCTACTTGGGCAACTTCAAGCGACTAATTGCAACTGTCTATTGCTGTCACTCGCACTCGTTGTCGTTTACTTTTGATTTCTATTTCGTTTTGGCTTTCTTCTCGCTGGTGGAAAGTTCTTAATGGGCTGCACGAGCTCTTTGGCCCGCTCTTGAACACTGACCCATTTCGGGGACCGTAGCAAAAGCGTCTCGAATTGCAGTGATATTGAGCCAGCATTGGCAACGCTTCACTCCCAAGCCCCAAATCCATGGTAACCAAATACAAATACACATAATGTGTCCAGTCATCGTCTCTCAAATGTGTATCCAGTGAGTTATTATTATTATTGAGTCTCTGGTTTCATGACTTGCGCCTGTCTTCGCATATTGTTACGAACCTTTTCTGTGTGTTTTCGTTTTCGTTTTCGTTTTATTTAGCGAAATCAATTGAATACCAACAGATCACAGATTGAAGGATCAAACCAGATGATTGCCATAGATGGAGTTTCCATATCCCACCGATCAAAGCAGACCTTTCTGTACAATTTTGAAGGGTATTTGGCGTGTACGAGTCGTTGGCTTTTAGATAAACTTTCATTTTTTGTTTTGGTTTGCTTTGCCTATTCTTCTGGCATCTAAAACCAGATGGATGGAAATACACACAAACATATTTAAAGTCAAATTAGCTAAATGATATTTTAATGACTCCACTCCACTCGACTCGATTTGAGTCGATGCCAAAAGTGGACTTTCTGCTAAAGACTCGTCTCCGGCGACTCCAGACACACACACAAATGCGAAGGAATTGACTTTGGCAGTGGCCCATAAAGTATGATTCGATCTGTGTGTTCGTTCAATATAAGTATACCCAGCATACGTTGTTGCATAATTAACGCATTAGTCGCTCTTTATCATTATAATTTGTGTTTCTTGAAATGTTATGCAAGTTTTGCTGCTCCGACTTAATCTGCAAAATAATTTTGTTTCTTTGACTTGTTGGCCTTTTGTGTGTGTTTTTGTGTTTAAATAATTATATATTGATTTTAATTTCAAGGTTAAAATTGCTAATTTGACTAAGAAAAAGAGCACACAAAACTGATTGCCTCGAATATATTTCGATGACATTCAATTTTGATGAGCAGAAGAAAATGCAGGGCCCAATGATGACAACAGTTTTGATTGGATTTTCGCATGAATCATTAATGAATCGATCACCAGTGATGGACAGCTGCCAGCTGGTTCGATTTGGGGCAAGAGAAGCTTTCAAGGCCACAAAAGTCTGCTAGCCATGATGAACCCTGATCAATCCTGGCCAAATTCGATCCTCTGGCTATCTTTCTCTTAGCCTATCTCTTGCGGTGACTACCCCCAATTAATTAGGCAAACCCCCCGAGCATAAGGGGGCACAAAACGCACACAAAAAAAAAGAGCTGAGAGCTGTGGCCACAAATGACCAAAAATAAGTCCCAAAACTCATAAAGAAACGCAATTTTCGGAAGACAATGCAACAAATTCAAATTCCAAACTCCAAATTCCAAATACCAAATGAAAGTGAAAATGAAAATGAAATTTTACGTGATCGCGCTGCAGATTTATGGCATTTTTTGTTGTTTTTGTTTGCTTGAGAAATCTTTTCTGCAGCCGGGCCTTTGGCATTGTTTTATGAGCGAAGTTCGAGGAGCACTCGTAGCAGCCGGCAACAGCTGACTGCGATAAATAAAAATAAATGTCTGAGCAAAACAATTAGGCAACAAAAAGCAGTGCGAGCATAATAGAGACATTGAGGGGCGTTAGCTGCATTTTAATTTCGATTTGCATTCAGGGGCCAAAAGAAAGCCGAGAGAGCGGAGACGCTGCCGAAATGGGCTTATTAAAATATCCAATTATTGCCAAATTGCAGCTCTCTTGCAGGGCAAAGAAAAGCAGAAAAACGCCCAAAAATCGAACACTGAAAACTGATCAAATGAGTTAAATCGAAAAACCAAAAATCCAAAATTAAAAACCAAACCAAACCAAACGAAACGAAACGAAACGAAAGTGAAATGTTTCCACTTCACTCACGTACTCGTGTAAATTTATGCAAAAAGAAAAGGCAGGGAGCACGGGGGGACGGGAGGACGGGGGGGGCCCGAAACAGCTTGTCGAGCGAGGGAGGCAGGCGGCCATGGCTGGGTGTGAGAATCAACTTAAAGTCTGTTTCCAATGCAGCCCAGAAGCATTTTATTTGAAATCCTTCCTTACACATAAGAGAAACTAAACTTCAACTTGTACAAGAAGGAGACAACGAATCGATTTCGTTCCCATGCACAAAATTCGGAATCGAATTCGGAAGAAACGACACAAAAGCTTACATAACCCGTGTGACGTATTAATTGAAGTGTTTTGTTTTTGGTTTTTGGTTTTCCGATGTTCCAGTCCAGTCCAACATCAGCTTTCGTTGAATCCAGTCGCATCCCTGCGATCAGATCAAAGCTAACGATTGCCAAGTGCGCTTACTTACTCTCCCTTCCCTTTTTGGGTATCTCAGGTGACCCGCTTTCTCTTTCTCTCTCCTCTTCTCGGGATCTTTCAAGAAACGTTCGATGTGCGCGTTGCTTTTGTTAAATGTTTCCCTCTGTTGTGTTGTCTGCGGTCCCTGCTCGGCCTTTGTTTGAAGCACTTGCTGAGGGCTCTGCCAAAAGTTGATTATTATCACGTTAGCCATGGGCCGGTGGCCGGTGGCCGGTGGCCGGTTGGCCTGCAGTTCACAAGTTCAAAGCAGCCCACGGCTTGCAGTCGCCTTACATTATTCATTACATTTGATGGCTTTGAACTTTGCTGGACATACGTGGCCAATGTGGTCGCTTGATGGCAATTATTAATGTGCCAGCTTACAAGTGGGTAAGCCCGCCTGCCACCTGCACTCTCTGGCCTGCTGGTTTCATGTTTGCTTATTATATTCCATATATTAAATAACTGCCACCTGAGGCGATGGTGAGCTGGCTCTGCCGCGGACTCCGCTCTCTGGGCTGCCTTGGATTTATGCAAGTGCACCAGGCCGTTGCTTCATGGCACAAGATATGGCTGGAGTATGCGAGACCTGGTGGATACCCTGCTGAAGCCTGGGAATGTCCTCCAACAAAGTTCATTTTCCAACATACTTTTCGCTGCAGCATAATTAATTGCTCACTCAGTCCTCAGTCTAGAGTTTGTAATTTATCCCCATGGATCTCTGGACACTTTGGTAACCAAATTTTACAACACATTCAGGGAGAACTTGCTCCCCGGCCAAGCTTCAATGGAGGTTGGCCATCGCGGAGGGTAGGGTATGGTTGGGTATCGAGTAACGTAGATCGTAGATCGTCTTTGGCTCATTGAGTATCGTGTTTCAGGTCTGGTTAATCAGGCTGCCAGCTAGGAAAGCTAACGGAAGCCCTCCCCAAAAAACAAGTTCAGCTGAAAGTGTTGCACATATTTTGAATGGTGCAAAGTTTTCACTTTGGGCCATTTACACAAATTTGTTTTGTTTCGATTGAATGCGATTCTTATTTGGGCATTGTTGCTGCCTGCCTGTCTGTGTGTCTATCTGTTGGGCTGCATGAATGGCTTGCCACTCAAGCCAGACTCAGTCAATGCAAGCGACCCAGCCTCTGGGTAGGCTGTGGGCAATGAAAGAACTCTCTGTTCTGGTTGAACCACTAGCACACTCAAAGCTTTGCCAAGGAATTCAACGTGGTGTCAATTAACAGGTATTTCGCTTTGAATTTGGCTGCTGAAGTACATACAAGTACGAGAATCCAGCATGAGCTGGAGGCATCTTTGGGCGTTATGCGAACCACAACACAACGTACATTTGAAATAATTTGTTCTTGCAGAATTTCATGGAAAAAGATGTGGGAAAGGTGGTTCTGTACACAACCAGCATGGGCATCATACGGGACACGTATGCCAAGTGCGCCAATGTCAAGCAGATTCTACGCACTCTGCTGATCAAGTTCGAGGAGCGCGATGTCTTCATGAGCGTCGAGTATCAGCAGGAGATGAGGGAGCGGATGCACAATAGGACCATCCGAGTTCCCCAGCTCTTTGTCGAGGGCCAGCACGTTGGGGTGAGTGACGAGTTAAGTTTGTGTGCGAATATTTAAAACATTAATTGGCATTGCAGGATGCCGATACCGTGGAGCGCTTGAACGAATGTGGGGAGCTGCGACAACTGCTAAGGCCCTACAAGGTGAACAAATCAACAATCCTTCGCCCATGATCCCGATTAATTTTGCAATTTTTGATTACTCAATTGTTGTCCATTTTGTTGCAGTCCATCGCAACGGCGTATACGTGCCAGACCTGCGGAGGATATCGCCTGCTGCCCTGCCCCTCGTGCAGTGGCTCCAAGAAGTCGGTGCATCGCAATCACTTCACCGCCGAGTTTGTGGCTTTGAAGTGCATGAACTGCGATGAGGTGGGCCTGGTCAAGTGCCCCAACTGCTGAGCTGAGCTGCGCATCAGTCAGTGTCGAAATACTTTACTTATATTTATACAAGCGTTACCCTTCCCTTCTCCAACCCAACCCAACCCAACCCACCCCAAACTTCATCCAAGCAGAATCTGAAGCGCAATGAAGTGTGTGGTTTTTTTTGTTGTTTTTTTTTTGTATCTATATCGAAATGATTTATCTGTCGCTTATTATTAACAGTTGTGATATTTGAGATCAGTTTCGAGAGCAGAAACTGAGTCGCGGGAAGAACGGAAAGGCAAACGGAGCGGAACCCAAACGAAAAACAAAACATATCCATATACAAAATTCTAGAAGTATGTACGAGTAGGATCAAGGATCGAAGATCAAGGAGCTATTGAAGAATAAAACTATAACTCAAACGACATGTGTACATTACATTTAATTAGCCAAACAATTAATGATCGATTGATGAGTTCGTAAAATGTGAGTGTGGAAATGCAATGCACAGCCACGGAAGGTAAAGGTGCATTGGGATGTGCACTCCCCAATGTTAATTTCAATTCATTGATTTGCATCGATCAGTCCCGGTTGGCCTAGAACTGCAGGCTAAAAGTGTCCGTAGTGCAAAGCCCCTGGCTTTTGCTCTTGCCGGTCATCACGAGGCGCATATTAAATGCCGAATCGGGCGTCAAGTGTGCCACATTCGTCGGATCGAACTCACCGTCAACGGCCTTCTGCAGCACAAGAAGGGTGCTCTGCGGTGCCAGGATATTGAAATTGAAGAACATGGAATTGGGGCGCTTTCTGGTCATGCTCAGGCCGTAGCCATAGGTAAAGTTGTCGACAGTTTTGATGCAGCTGTTGGGGAACGGGCATGAATGGTGAAAGCAGGAGGACTGTCTATGGACGACTAACTAGAAAGGATCGTTCAGCTGGTCATGTAGCAGCATCTCCGCAATGAGTCCCACAATATGGATGTGGTGCTCGAGGCCCCGAAGACGGACGCGCTGATCCGCTACGCGCAAAAATATGGACTGTACCCCGATCCTTAGGTGCCAATGCATCAGCCTCATGCCCGAACTCATAATCGTAAAGGAACGAAATTGCTGAAAAAAAAAAGAGAGTCCATTCGTGGGGCAACTCGTTCTCGGGCACTGGTCTACAGATCTACTCACTCTGAGGAGATTGATTAGGGTCAGCGTCAAGCGCAGGCGACGCTGATGTGCCCCCATCTTGGAGTCTGCTAGGGCGCTGCGGTTGTGGCTGCCCAAGGGCTTCTCCACACTGAGCAGGAACTCGGAGATGAATTTCTTCAAATGAATGCAAATGGGGGATATCGAGGTGGATTTGGACATACGCACATGGAAGGAGGCCAAGTTAAACACAAAATGGGACTCATAGCCACACTTAAAGTAATCTGTGGCCGCTTGCAAGACCTGCGAGCAATTAAATGCGTGAGATGTGTGCGGATGTGTTCTCCCCACTTACCGTCAAGGCGGCCCTGACCATGGGCTCTCGTAGACCCTCCCGCCGTTGCTTACGATGGGCATACACAAAGCAGCGATGTCGATGCATCATGTATTCGGTGTACTGATTGGTTATTCCCTGCAATGATATGATCAGGTTCTGAGGAGATTCAACCAAGGAGAAGATGTGCTCCAGAATCTCTGGCGGCATATCCATCAGTTCTGTAGATGCTGCCCTCAGCTGAACCCGGGATCGCTTAGCATTTTTGCCCCCCACGATGGGAGATCCATGAGTACGCTTGCGGCATTGATTCGCTTGTTCCGACATCTTTCGAATGTTGTTCCCTGCTTAACAATAATTTTCAAAGTAAATTTATTATTGTAGACTTAAGTGCAAATGGCAGCTAGCTCGATACTAAGCATTTTGTGTAAGTCAAGCAAGGGATGTCAGTTTTCGACAGGAAACTCAACGCAGGATGTTTCCCGAATGCGAAGTGCTGCTGGTGCTCTGTCGGTATGCCTGACAGATGCCCAGGAATATTTGTCCTTTGCTAAATGTACCATTCGACACTCGACATGTCCCGTTCAAAATGTACCATGCAAAATGTACTATGCTAAGTGTCCCGTGCAAAATGTACCATGAAAAAAGTCCCGTGCGTTGCGTCCCATTCGAAATGTACCGTGCAAAATGTACAATGATAAATGTCCGGTGCGTCGTGTCCCTTTCAACATGTACCGTTCTCATTTTAGGTACTTTCTGAGTATATGTTTCTGCCTAAAAGTTTGCCACAAGTCGCCACTTCGTGGGTGTTTTTGATGAATCCTGGAAAAACATAATGGACACTGCTCAAGCCTCTAGCAAGGAGCCCCGCTCTTGCTGGCAGACCTGCCCACCCCATCCACTGTTAAGTACTGTTAAGTAATTTGCTATTTTTGGGGTAATTATTGCCATGGTACATTGCGAAGACTGAACTGAGTCAGTCAGCCCCAAAAGTATTCTACAAAAAAACAGCACTTTAAGTTGAAAATAATTCCGTTCTTCGGCATCGTGAGATTGGGGTTTTATTAACGATTTTCACATGGGAACATTTATGTATTAATGTTTAAAGAACCAATAAGGAACGATTTACTGTGATTAAAAACAATTTAGATGCCCCTCAGCCCCAACCCCCTTTTATCTTTTATCCATTGCAAATGCTGATCAGCGCCCCGAGCCGTGGTACACAATGCGAAATTAGTCCATGTTCGACTCGGAGTCGCTGTCAATCTGTGAACTGTCATGATCAGTGTCAGTATCGACGAAATAACCGTCGTCGGTGGAGTCGGAATCGTAGTCAAATCCTGCATTCTGGCGATTCTGTGGCCGATACGTGCCATCGAGCTCGTTGCCACTGGAGACGAGAACATTCTCTTCGGTGTAGTCGAACACGAGGCGACGGAGACTGCGTAGGAAGAGCTTCTGCCGCAGATAGATGTTGAGCAGGCCCTTGGCCGCAATGTAGGTGGCGCCGCCGAGCAGGTTGCGATTCAGGGTGTCGCCCACACTCGAGAAGAAAATGAACCCAGTGAGTGAGGCGAGTGTGGGGAGCATGAGGGCGCCGGAAATGACACGTGCATGGCACGGGCTTGAGAAGTTTGAATCAATGTCTCCATCGAGCGATGCATCCTCCGATTCGGTGGTGTTTCTGTACAGCAAACTGAGGATCGGAACCTTGCGAAAGATATTGTGGCGGCTGCGAATGAGATTCAGCACGGTGTCCTCCCAGCGAATGAATCGTGAGAAGAGCAGTGCCACTGGCACAAGGGGCAGTCCGGCGGCCACGGCCAGCGGGTCTGCGTTTGCAATGAGCGAGAAGCTACGCGAGTAGCCCATGAGCTGGACCACAATTGTGGCCCCAAATATCATGGCCGACCAGTAGATGGCGCCAAGGAAGAGGCAACCCACCACCAAGGGGCTGCTGCGGCGGACCATGCCGTAGGTGAATTTAAGGACAGTGGCCAGTGGGCCAATCGATGGATAGACAATCATGTACTCCGTCAGGCACTGCTGGCAGGTGACAATGCGCTGCATGTTGCCCTTCTGCTTCTCGTCTATCCAGCGATAGAGGCAGCTCTGATGCACCCACTTGGTGGCGCCACGGCACTGGCACGGCTGCACCCACTCGGCCCGGCGGTTCTCGTCTTCGCTGGCAAAGCATATCCAACATACACGTTGCTGCCGTTCCTGCTCCTGCCCCTGGAACATCCTGGCCAGCATCTGGAAGTGGTAGCTCGGAATATCCCAGCACGTATTGGCAGTAAAGCTTCCAACTCGCTGCAGCTGAAATTGAACACAAACAGAGTTGGGAGACTAAGTATATTTTTGACTCGTTCCGGAATATCTCACCTGGAAGACTAACAAATCGAAAGACTGGCAGCTGACGTTTGTTTGGATATGGCAGTGATTGCCACGATTCGATTGGAGTGAAATTTGAATCTAAATCCAGTGAATCTGCTCCTAGAAGTTCCGCTCTCAAAGTGTTTCCCAATTTGCTTTGCTTCCAGCAGGCCTTGCCTCTGCTCTATCCCCATCCAGTTCCAGGCATAACACTACAACTCGTTCAACGTTTCGGTCGACAGCTCTAGAAAAAATAAATTATTTCCGCTTTCAAATATTTCTACTTTGTGTGGCAAACAATTAGCAAGCAGCAAGCAGCAACCAGCAAGCTGTAAGGTGAGCCACCCATAAGATTGATTGAACAGGGAAAAGTTAAGCGAATTTCAGTTCACATCCAGAGCGGAGGAAGCCAGGAAAGTAGCAGGACAGGCAGACAGCAAGTTCATTTATTTGGAGTCAGTTTGGAGACTTATTCATAAGCAACGATGTCGGACAATGGCGCTGCGTCTGGGGTGATGAGTCTGCTGCTGTGCGGCGCCACTGGATTTGGCTGCTGCACGATTGGGCCACAGGATCATCCGTATGCCTTTGCGGCCTGCGTGGTTGGCTTCTGTCACGGACTGCTGGGAATGGTCGCTTGTGTCTCGGGCGATGAGAATGCGAATAAAGCGAAAGAGGCCACCGCGGCACTGATGGAGATTGTGCCACTGCCGCTGGTCAATGTGGAGCTGTTCCTGGGCTCCGACAGCAACAACATTGCTCTCGGCCATGGACTGTTCATTGTGCCACTGGCGGCCAGTGCGCTCATTGGCTGGGCAAAGGACACCGACGAGGTCGGCAATGCACGCGACACGCTCAAGACCCTCACCGTGCTGGGCAACATTACGTCGATGATCTTTCTGGCACTCAACGAGAGCAGCTGGCACATAGGCGGCATGGCGTTCCTGGCCTTCATGGCCAAGTTCGGTGCCAACTTCTGTGAGGATAACATAGCCGAGGGCAGTGGCAAGCACGTGGCCTGCGTCAGCTGGTCGGGATTCTTCTTCCTCGCCACCATGGCCGTCGTCGGCAAGTCAAACTGAAACCCGCCATCTAAATTTCCCCTTATTTCCATTGATTGCAAATTACCTGCGAAATTCACAGCCCACAAAACTCTAGTTCAAATATTAGACAATTTATTCAGGATTAACACTGATAAACAATAAAAACCCCAACTCAATAATTGCTGTCTGTTCATTTAACAATATTCCAATGGAAACAAGGAGCAGGAGAGCAAAGAAATAATATTTAAATACTCGAAGAACCTTTAAGAGGTAAGCAAGTCCAATTTAAAATGTGTCTTCATTGATTCCAATTCGCCACGCCCTTGTCTTTTGCTCAAAGTCACCACGAACCGTTGCCCCCAACCAAGCGCAGCAGTAACCCGATCAACGATCAACGATCAACGATCAGCGATCAGCGATCACCATCCCCAACCCCAGTGCATGACTGGCATCCGCTAGCCAGCCGCTGACAATAGGAACTCATAAATTGTAAGACCTAATGTCAACAAATCGCTGGTAAGTATGGGCACGCACGGCCTAAGCTCAATTACCGCTACCAGAGGTAGTCACTAGAGGGAGTGAGGGAGCGGGCGACAAACCTCACCTCAACCAACTTTAGCCAGCACAAGCACCAGCCCCAGGCCCAGACCCAGGCCCAGTTCCACTAGTTCCTAGTGCAACTCCACCTACTGCTGGCGTTCAAGCGTGCTCAATGAGCATGACAACAAAAACACAGTTGTACATTTTTTGGGCCCCGTGTCTTGTGTCTTGTGTCTTGGTTCATTGTTATTTTTATGACTTAGTGCCAATGGATTTGGGGTGGGGTCGGTGGAGTACGACTTGAGTTGCCTTTTGGTTTTTCGGCTAGAGCCACAAAGTTACGTGCTAATTTCTTGACAGACTGACAGACGAAACCGAAATTGAAACTGAAATCGAGACTGAGACACTGTAAGTGGAAGTGGAAGTGGAAGTGGAAGCAGAGAGAACTGGTTGTTACAGAAATATTTTTGTTATCGCTGGTAATTGGCTGGGCATTGTCTGTCTTTCGTTGTTGCTTTTGTTTTTGGTTCATGTCTAGGCCTAAGTCTTGGCATTGAAAGCGCATTATAGATAAGGGAACTGCGGCTTGGGCTCTGTTTGGCGAAGCTAAAAGCTGAATCCATCTCATATGTAGCTCTTTTTGCTCTTTCTCCTCAGTGTTGATTAGTTTTCATTTGTGTAGATCCATCCAGCGATTGGCAATGTCTGCAGAGAAATTTAGATTTATTAGTTGATTGGCTATGATTAGGGAAATTTGTGGCGGCAGCAACTTCAGCAACCTCCACACGCTTCCTACGTTTCAGCGCCAAGTGGCACTTGAATTTAGCTGGTGGGGGCTCTGCTCTCCAGCAGCTCTACAGAATCTAGACAAGAACCATTGAAGCTAGCTGCCTTTGTAGTTTGTCCGGGAACCGCTCCAACCATTTCCCATGACCCTCTTGGACATCAGCAGACATCGTCATCGTTCATCTAACACTGCCCAAAACATTGAATTTTAACTCTTGTTCTGGCTATTGCCATTGTCCAAATAGACGACGCACAGTGGAATTTCAACCCCAAAAATGGTTGGCTTGAATAACTTTATTCATTTTTGCAAGCTGAAATTGTCGAGTATCCCAGTGTGCGACTCTCGCTATTGTTTAAAAGAGATGATTAATCGCTTTTTGCAACGAAATTGCTTCGAGTGGCAGCCATTGGGGGTTTATCTAACAGCAGGAAAGGGAGTACCACTGTCACCCGAGTTTGGACATAACATATCGAACTCTGTCCAGTCCATCCTTGCCTGCGACCACCCACTATTTTCATCCCACTATTTAGCCAATGTTGGAACCATCCATGGTGAAATTAGTAACAAGGTGAAAGGGGTGACGTCTTCACCATGGGGTAACTCTCTTTCGGCCACTCTCCCACACACTCTCTCTCTCTCTATTGCTCTTCCCCTTTGTGTGCTTATATCTAAGTTCTTGCACTCCTCCCACCCTCCATTAACGAACGTCAATCGAGCGCTATCTTTGAGCCTTATCGCTTTTGCCCTAGTTGGTTCCCTTTTTTTGAAACTTCAAATGGATGATTATTAACAAGAGAAATTTATAATCAATGAGTGGCACTTGCCGCTCTCTCTCTCTCCCTCTCGTACATCGCTTGGCTAGAGGAATTACTTAATAATGCACTCCACTCCACTCCACTCCACACCACACCGACCAGTGGCAGTGGCAATTAAATATTTAATTTGTGCCATCGATTTGGCCGCGTTTTTCCAAACAGCTCGACCGATAGCCATAGTTTTTTTGCTATTTTGTGGTTATATTCGTAGTTGGGAATGAATTCTTATCTGGGCTTTTGTTTTGTGTCTTTTTTGTGTAGCTTTTGCATGCATATTTCATAGGCCGCCGTGGGGGGAAATTGGCCAGGTACAAAGTATTAGCATTAGCATTCAGCAGGCATTCAGGTTTTTTTCATACCCGCACCCCACTCCACTCGAGAGAGAAGAATGTATGGTTCCATTCCCCCCCCCCCCCCCCCCCCCCCCCCCTTAGCTCCTTCCACAACAAGCTTTTGGTATGTGACTGCTGGAACTTTTGGAATTAGAATGTAAAGTGAAAGGAGTTCTACAGGTTAATGCCATGCCAAAAGTTTCTGCCTCTGTCTCTTACTCTGTCGTCTTCCATCTCCGTCTTCCCGGCATCATTCCTTGTCCGTCTGCCCGTCTCCGTCTCCGTCTCCGTCTCTCTTTCTTTCTTGGCTCCATGCGACGCCTTAATGAATGAGGAATGACTGCATGAAAATTGCCCCGACACGATACAGCTTCAGCTGGAAACAGCTAGCCAGCAAAGACAAAGACAGAGACAGAGGCAGAGGCAACAGAGATGCAAAAATATGTACGTAAAGTATGTAAAGTACATATGTGCATATGTAAATATGTATGTATTCACCTATGAGACAATAACTTTAGTCTACAAAAGTCTAAAACTCAAAGAAAGCCTCACAATGCTCACAAGTGTGGCAGCACAAGGATGTACATATGCAGAAAGGAAATTATTGGTAATACTCATTTAAAGTGAAGTCCCACCCTCCAAACATGAATACAAATTCATACAATAATCTAGGGGTATTCCCGCCCGAATTCCCAACAGTGCGACGTTCCTCCCTTCGGATGGAACCTAACGTTAGGAAGGATGCCTGGCATAGTCGTCGAAAGAGGCGGACAGATCGCATAGCTTAGCCATGGAACCGCAGAGCAGAGAGGAGAGGTGATGAATTGCGGAAGCAGATTATTAACACCGAAATAGTTTTTCGTGTAGGATTAGTGGGAAATATTTGTTGGTGGACGGGGCAGACAGAACAGACAGGGGACAGAGAGTATAATGGGCGAGTGGGCGAGACGCGACGCAAGATGCGATGCGATGAGATGAGATGAGATGAAGATGTCGCCTGACAACCGAACCGAGCACACGGCAACAGTCTGTCCCATGAACAATCCCCATACCCATACCCATACCCATACCCATACCCATCCCAGAGCGCCTTCGTTCTTCCGCATGTCTGGGTCTATTTTTGAGGCGACTAATCGCCCAGAACGCTGACAACGCCAACGCCAACGCAGTCGCAATCGCAATCAGCCCCAGCCCCGATCCAAGCCACAGTCTGAAGAAGTCTTCTGCCACTTCCACTACCCCATTTACCATTTACCATTTACCATATTTAACTTTCCATTTAGCATCCAGCGATTCTCGAAACGATTCTCGGCCGGCCAACCAAATGTCATCTTACCATTGGACGCACATAAATTAATCGACATTTATGGGGACAATTTTGTCTATTCCATTCCAAACGGTGTCTCCGGAGTAAATTCCACAAAATAAGCAAAAACCAAAAGCTAACATTGCCCGAAATGTATTTATAGACTTGCATGGAATTCTATTTGTCAGCAGCAGCAGCGACAGCGACAGCGACATTTGTGTCTCTTGGCTATGTTTTCCCCATTTCCATTCGGCTCTATTCGAAAAGTGTCTATTTTATTTTTAAACAGCCAAATATTTGTACGAAAACGGGGCTAAGTTTTCCATTCCTGACACGACGACGCCGCCACTCGCTATGTTTCGTCTCATCTTTGGGTAAATGCTTGAAAGCAAAATCGAGCTGGCAATCCGAGGAGAACTCATTTGGGCATACGAATTTGAACTAATTAACAACTTCTGCCTCGCAGACTTGCTTGTGAAAGTCCTTACTTCCTCGATGCATATTTACTGGCAGTATTTAATAATTGTGGAGCACTGAGCGTTTTCCCTGGCAAAGCGCTTGAAGCCTGCAGACGTGACTTCCGTTGCCACACGCCAAAAACTTTGTTCAATGTTTGAGCATGGGGCAGGAGCAGCTCGGAGCGGCGGTGTGTGTGAGTGTGTGTGGTGAGACTGTCAACAGGATGTGTCTGCCCTGTTGTCGTCGTCACTTGGTTGATGGCATAATTAATGCCTTGCTGTGGCAACATGGTGGCTGGCTGGCCACTCCCCTTCTGCTCCATTACTCCGCATGGCATTTGGTCTTTGAAGTTTCTTTCATATTCACACACACGCTTTTCCGGCTTTTCTCACACTATTGCACCACTATTGCTTTCCATTTGAGTGGCAAACAGCAGCAGCAGTCACAAATGTGAAGAGAAAATTGAAAAGACAAAAAAAATGCAACTTTTGATTGACAGCAGCTGAGTGCTGGCTGGCTGTGCGGAGGTGTACTGTGGGGAGGGAATGGGGACAACAATGGACACGCCCACAACTTGACATCCCCAGTCCAGAGTCCAGAGTCCAGAGTCCAGAGTAGAGCATGGAAAAGGTTTCCAGCAAACTCTTCACAATTCTGTTCCCATTCATTGATTGACATTCGAACAGGCCAATCGCCATGTCCGAGATACATAAGTTGGAAAGATCAAAGCTGGAAACGGAAGTGCTTTGAGCATTTTAAATAGTTTTGTTAATATGCAGAAATTCCTGGAATGCTCCAGGAGATTGAACCCCTACAAAAAGCTCAAAGGTACTTGCACTATTCCATTGAAATTCCTAACAATATTCCCTGCCCGATTATTTCCTCGTTTCTCCCCAAGACAGGGGCCCATCCCAAATGCAGAGGCGGACCTCCTTTGGCC